TGGCTGTGGGTTTGTCATATGTAGCCTTTATTATGTTGAGGTAATTTCCTTGTATCCCTGTTTTGTTCAGAGTTTTTTTTTTTTTATCATAAATTGCTGTTGGATCTTGTCAAATGCCTTCTCTGCATCTATTGAGATGATCATGTGGTTTTTATTCCTCAATTTGTTGATGTGGTGTACCACATTAATTGATTTGCGAATGTTGAACCATCCCTGTGTCCCTGGTATGAATCCCACTTGATCATGATGTATGATCCTTTTGATGTATTGCTGAATTCGAGTTGCCAAAATTTTGTTGAGAATTTTTGCATCTTCTTCATCAGCGACATTGGCCTGTAGTTCTCCTTTTTCGTGCTGTCCTTGTCAGGCTTTGGTATCAGCGTGATGTTGGCCTCACAGGACGTGTTAGGAAGTGTTCCATCTTCCCTAACTTTTTGGAATAGCTTGAAAAGTATAGGTATTAAATCCTCTTTGAAAGTTTGGTAGAATTCCCCAGGAAAGCCATCGGGTCCTGGGGTTTTATTCTTGGGATGCTTTTGATTGCTGTTTCAATCTCTTTCCTTGCGATTGGTCTGTTCAGATTGTCTGCTTCTTCTTGACTTAGCTTTGGGAGATTGTAAGAGTCTAAGTATTTATCCATTTCTTCTAGGTTATCCATTTTGTTGGCATATAGTTTTTCGTAGTATTCTCTTATATTCCGTTGTATTTCTGTGGGGTCTGTTGTTATTTCCCCTCTTTCATTTCTGATTTTGTTTATTTGAGCTTTCTCTCTTTTTTTCTTTGTAAGTCTGGCTAGGGGTTTGTCAATTTTATTTATCTTCTCAAAGAACCAGCTCTTTGTTTCATTGATCCTTTGTACTGCCTTTTTTTGTTTCAATAGCATTTATTTCTGCTCTGATTTTTATTATTTCTCTCCTTCGGCTGACTTTGGGCTTTGTTTGTTCTTCCTCTAATTCAGTTAGATGTAATTTGAGATTGCCTATTTGCGATTTTTCTTGTTTGTTAAGGTGTGCCTGTATTGCCATGAATTTCCTTCTTAATACGTCTTTTGCTGTATCCCATATGAGTTGGTATGGCATATTATCATTTTCACTTGTCTCCAGATATTTTTTTATTTCTTCTTTAATTTCTTCAACGATCCATTGCTTGTTCAGTAGCATATTGTTTAGTCTCCACATCTTTGTCCCCTTCTCAGCTTTTTTCTTGTAATTAATTTCTAGATTTATAGCATTATGATCAGAGAAGATGCTTGTTATTATTTCAATTTTTAAAAAATTTATAGAGGCTTGCCTTTTTTCCTGACATATGGTCTATCCTTGAGAATGTTCCCTGCACACTTGAGAAGAATGTGTATTCTTTTTGGATGGAGTGTTCTATATATGTTTATTAAGTCCAACTGTTTTAGCTTTTCATTTAATTCCACTGTTTCCTTGTTGATTTTCTGTCTGGATCATCTGTCCAATGATGTGAGTGGGGTGTTGAGGTCCCCTACTATTATTGTGTTAATTTTGATATTTTTTTTAGGTTTGTTAATAGTTGCTTTATGAACTTCAGTGCTCCTGTGTTGGGTGCATAGATATTTATAAGTGTTATTTCTTCTTGATGTAGTGTCCCTTTGATCATTATATACTGACCATCTATGTCTTTCTTTACCTGCCTTATCTTGAAATCTACTTTGTCTGATAGAAGTATTGTGACACCTGCTTTCTTTTGTTTGCCATTAGCTTGGATTATCGTCTTCCACTCCTTCACTCTTAGCCTGTATTTGTCATTGGAGCTGAGGTGTGTTTCCTGGAGGCAACAGATTGTTGGATCTTGTTCTTTAATCCATCTTGCCACTCTGTGTCTTTTTATTTGAGAGTTCAATCCGTTTTCATTGAGGGTGATTATTGATGCATGAGGGCTTAATGCTGTCATTCTGTCACTCCTTTTCCAGTTTTCCTGCCTTTCCATTGCTTTTCATCCTGTGTGTTTTGGCCTACCCATTGACTCCTGCAGTTTCTTATGCTGGGTTTCTTAGCTTTTTCCTTGTTTATTCTTTGTGTCTCTGTTCTGTTTTTTAGTTTAGTGGCTACCCTGAAGTTTGTATTCAGAATCTCATGCATAACATAGTCCATTTTTTGGTGGCCTCTTATTTCCTTAGCCTAAACTGATCCAGTCCCTTTCCTCCTCCCCTCCTAAGTTATTATTTTCATCTCTTATTCCAACTTGTGTTGTGAGTTTGTGGTTAAAGTGACAAGATTGTCTTTGTTTTTGGTGTTCTCCTTCCCTTTATCCTAGTGCTATAGTTGAATGTTTGCTATCTTCTTCTGATTCTATCTGTCTCCTTACTGTGTTTTGTGATCGCTTTCTCCCTTTTTTTCTTTTTTCAGGTATGAGGGCCTTCTTGAGGATTTCTTGTGTGTGTGTGGAGGGGGGGAGTCTGTGGCTACGAAGTCCCTTAGCTTTTGTTTTTCTGGGAAAGATTTAATTTCTCCCTCATATCTGAAGGATGTTTTTGCTGGATAGAGTATTCTTGGCTGAAGACTTTTATCTTCTAAAGTTTTGAATATGTCATTCCAATCTCTCCTTGCTTGTAAGGTTTCTGCAGAGAAATCTGCTGAAAGTCTGATAGGGATTCCTTTGTAGGTTATTTTCTTCTGCCTTGCTGTCCTGAGTATTCTTTCTTTGTCATTCACTTTTTCCATTTTTACTACTATGTGCCTAGCAGTAGGTCTTTTTACATTGACATATCTAGGAGATCTGAAAGCTTCCTTCACACACATTTCTCTCTCATTCCCTAGATTTGGGAAGTTCTCTGCTATTATTTCTTTGAGCATGCTTTCTGCTCCATTCTCCTTTTCTTCGCCCTCGAGGATAGCTACAATTCTTATATTGCATTTCCTCATTGAGTCGGCTATTTCTCAGAGATTTTCTTCATTTATTTTTAGTCTTAGTTCTCTCTCTTCCTCTGTCAGGAGCCATTCAACCTGTCTATCTTCGATTATGCTGATTTGCTCCTCTATGGCATCCACATGGGTATTCAGGGAATCCATATTATGTTTTATTTCTTCCATTGTATTTTTCATCTCTAGTATTTCTGATTGACTCTTCTTTATAGTTTCAATCTTTTTGTGAAGTAACTCCAGAACTCCTTGACTTGTTTCTTTATATTTTCCTTTACCTCATTGAATTTTTTGACCATAGCTATTCTGAATTCATTGTCCTTTAGTTTACTTATTTCTGAGTCCTCAGGACATCATTCTGGGTGCTTGTTTTCCCTCTGGTCTGGAGCTTTTATGAATTGTTTGATGCTAGAACGGTTTTTCGGCATAGTGATATTATTCTGTTTCAGTTACAGCCTGTCGCCACTAGATGTGGGTTGAGAGCTGTGTATTCTGAGCCCTCCGCCTTCAGCCAAGATGGTGTGGCACAGCACAGGTTGGAGAGTTGGGGGGTGCTTTCTCTTTTGCGGAGATCCAGTTTCCCGGCCAGCTCTTGCTATCTGGTCTCCTGGGGTCTTGGCTTGATGAGGTCACCCCACACGAAAGCTTTCACCGCATTAGAGGGCATCTGTCTGGTCTGCAAGGACCCTAGGGAGTCCTGGGTGATCCTGCTGATGCGCGGCCCCTCCCCCACTCCTTCCCTCATGGACCTTCCCATGGCAGTGATCCCAGTCTTTAGGGGAGGGAGCGAAGTTCTCTCTTACCCCATTCCTGCTCCTCTGAGGGGGGCTTCAGCCTCTCCGCCCTCTGTTGTTTGGCTGCTGTGTGTCTCTGAGGATTCCTGTGCTATTAGGATATTTTTTGTTGGAATATGATTGCTCCTTTTTGTTGTATGTTGGAGGGGAGAGAGTCCCAGGCAAGGTCACTCTGCCATGACGCTGACATCACTTGTACATGCCTTTTCTTCTTTTCTTTTTGGCATGACTCCTAGACTCTGCAGAGAACTACTGTCTTCTTTCTAATGCCAAGATTGTTACAGCTTGCTCAGTGGGAGCCCTTTTAAACCTGTTCCTTTATCTTTTAAAATTGCCCTCGATGGTTTGGAAGCATACTTTCATTCTGACAACAAATTGATGCTCCAGGCCCACCTTTATTATCCTTGCTCTGAGATGTAGAATCAGATACTTTCCAGGGCTTCCTGCTTCCTTTTGCTAGGGAATTGTATTTGAGACCAAAATCGAGGTGCTTTGGGAACACATTAGATCCATCTGTTTGATACTGGGGGAGGGCAACAGCACAGCACCCACGCCAGAGGCAGACCCAGAAAAGACATATTTTTAAAATGTCATGGAATCATATCATTACTTTCAATATAACTCCAGCTTAACAAAATACTTACACAAATCTTGTTCTAATACAAAAGATTTTCTTTTTTCTTGTCTTTTCTGAGGTACCAGCTTCCATTACTGCCACAATATACAACATTCTCTTACTAACTTTAACATGCCACACTGTATTGTAATACTGACTGAGGGGACCAAATCAGATCCTGGGTCCCTCGCCTCAGCTGCACTGCACACCCCCCTTAACTTCCATGATCCTTGTTTTTCCACCAACTATCATTCTTTAATGTCTTTTTGACATCAGAAGCTGGGACTTCTGGTGATGACTATAGTGTGAATAGTCTGAGTAATATCAGCTCATAGAGTGAGAAATGAAATGACTTTCTTTTTCCAATGATTGCTACCAACTATATTTAAACTATCTGATTTCCTGCTTACTAGCATGCTCCCTAATGATGCACAGTCCAAATCTATAATTTGTCAGTCAATATCCATTATGAGACATTATCATCTTGGTTAAGACTCAGTCTCATTGTCTGTTTTAAAACTTCAGTCCCTTAGTTCACACAGAGCTGCCTCTACCACGTCAGCACCCCACCCCCAGTGTAGACTAGACCTGTGGCTCCAACAGCTTCGAGTGGGGTATGTGGTCTGCTGTCCCTCCCATAGCTCTTTCCTGGGGCTTATTCATTGGGTAGGAAGGATGGGAAAGAGAAAAAAGATGTTTCCTTACCTGACTGCTCATTGGTGGTCCTCCTACTTGTGGGTCATAATGTGAACAGCCGATGTGGGTAGTAACCAAGTTCCTGTCTCTTCTGTTAGCCTCTCTGCTAATCCAGCATGTTTTCTGGTGGTGGTGGAGGTAAACAGCACTCTGGGATGAGATGAGATTAGTCTTGGTAAGTACTCTAGACTTAGGATCTAGGGAAATGTGGGTAAACGGTTCAGTTAAAGGTCCAGAGTAATTAGCTGGAAGTTACAGGACAGGCCCCGGGCATCTGGTCAGCCTTGTAATTGGATGCGGATGCATCAGCCTGAAGCTGAAGCTAGAGCTTCGGGAAGACCATGGTGTCAGGAACAGCGGCAGAACCATTGGTGCCCCCAGGGTGGCCAGCTTGGAGCTCCAGGCAATGGGGATCTTTAGCGTAGCCTGTCCCTAGGTTCGGCCTCGACCCAGGTGAACTTCTGTCATCAGAGAGTAAGCACATAAAGAAGGGGCCCACCTTTTATGGGCCTCTAGCTGTTGAGATATTGACAGCTGGACCTGGGGCAGGGCATGTGTGTGTGTGTGTGTGTGTAAGGGCTTGCACTGTTGGTTACTGGGGCAGTAAGCATCGTTTGATGACCTTCTATATACACCTCAAGGTCTTTCTTTTGCGTTGCTTCCTCTAAAGTCTTTTCACAATGGCTTTAACTAACTTCCTGCAAACAGAGGGTCTGTAAAGAAACACTTTTTGAAGACACGACTGTTGGAGAATGTGTCACCAGACGCCAGTGTCCGTGCCTGGGCTAAGTCCGGAGATCTGAGTAGGCTCTTTGGTGATAAGGAGCAGACTCCCTTCAACTTCTTCAGAAAAAAGAGGGTTGTGGTTAGCCAGGCCCTGGTACTGGGCTGGCTCGGAGTGGGCAGCTTGGGATAGGCACGCTTGGGTTCCATCCTGACCCGCCTCTTGCTGTCTGTTGGTGCATCTGCTTTATCTCTTGTGTTTTCCAAATGCCACAAACCCATGTCCTCACTGCATCCTAACTTCAGTTGCTCTGGGCCCAGCGTGGCTGCCCCACTCAACCCCTCTACTTCATAACCATCCAGCTTCTGTCCCTGTTGCTAACTTGCACAGTCTCTACTCCCTGGTCCAGCTTCCTGAGAGAGCGGCTCTGCCCATCTTTTAATGCCAGGCTTTGCCTCCTGGTCTGCCTGTTGCCCACAGCCTTTGGCTGAGGTGCTTGCTCTGACGGGCTGCACTGCGAGGAGGAAGGGGAGGGCGCTGTGGGTTCTCCATGTCAGAGGGAAGTGGCTGCCCCTTTCCTCAGTGCTCCTGGGTAAGGGGGCCTTCTGTGAGACATCCTCAGGAGAAGCAGGGCTCTTTGCCTTTGTGACAAAACCCCTCTCTGTGGTGCCATCGAGTGAGAGAAGGGCAAATGGCCTGTGGTCTGACCACAAAGGGAAGGCTGCAAGGTCTGGACAAGGAGTCCTGAGACCGAGTCCTCCACGTCAGTGGAAGGGATGTGAGAGAGCATCGAGCCTCTGCCTTCAGGGAGGCCCACACTCCAGCCGTCCCTCTCTTTAAACATTCACCCTGACCCATCCCCCAAACCCTGCTCAAAGAGAGAGCCTCAGTGTTCCTAGTGCAATGTTTCATCCCCCTCACCATCTGGAAAACTCTCTCTCATGCCCAGAGTATTACCATCTCATTTAACCCCACAACAATCTCATAAAGTCAATACTGTTATTTCCGCCTATTAATAAAAGGCAAGGAAACTGCATGCACATGTGAAATTTGCAGGGACTACACACATATTTACCAGGACGGGGCCAGATGACATCCCATGTCCTTCCATCTCTGATGTTCTAGATTCTAAACTCATCCATTAGGTTCAGCTCCTAATTTTCCTGTAGCAAATACTCTATAAACACACACATCCATGAAAATTAAATGGGTATTAAACACATAGTCTTCACATTTCTTGCATATTCTTTGATGCAACAAACATTTACTGAGAGTCTACATTGTGCCAACACCTTGCCGTGTGCTGGGGGCGCAGAATGAGAAGACGCGGCCACTGCCCCTGTGAGGCAAACGCGCCCCTGATTTCGTCACATCCAGACTGACTGCTTTAGAGCTAGGACATTTGCTAATTTATATTTTTTCCATATTATATATCTTAAGGGATAAATAAGTAAAATATAAATATTATGTAATATATTTACACTTAGAGACCCTAAATCTGAAAGCTTAAAAAAAAGTAAAGAAATATAAATTTTTATTATTTCCATTGATTACCATGTGTTAGAGAGAAGAGTGGGTTGGGAATCAGGAAACCTTGTTTCTGCCCAAACCTGGCTCTTGTGTTAATTGGGCAAGTCCATGGGCCTTAGTTTCCCCATATATATATGTGTATCTATATATCTATATATCTCATGATATTACATATATTATGTCATGATAACAACAGCTACTCTGTGTGTCTCAGAATACTGCAAGGATCATTGAGAAAATACATCCCAAATGGAAAGTCCTAAGAAAGGAAGCGATGATAATTACTTGTCAGATGAAGCAACTGCAGTGAATTATCCTGAGGTCCGTTGGTTTACGTTTCTTTGGCTTTAGAGAGAGACTGATGTGATAATCTGAGTCAGTGCAAGAGAGGGGAGCTGGCAGCTCTTCAGAGACAGCTGTCTAACCCTGAGCTCCTCATTCACGCAGCCGGCCCTGGATTTCACCCAGGATCCCTAAGACCCCGGATATAATCTGGAGCCTGGCTAACTGATCCCACAGGAAACTCCTAAACTTCATGTGGTCTGTGATTTCACCGACGGAACTTTTTCATGGATTGATGACCGAAGACAATACATATATGGTTTCCTTGCCTTTTTTCCACTTAGAAGTGGTCTGAAAAGAGGAAGAAAAACACGGCTGATATTCCGCATTTGAAAGTTGCTTTGGTTCCTGGCAGGAACCCAAGGCCACACCTTGGGAGGCAGAAGAGGCCTTTCTTGTGGCGTCCACCAGGTGGCACCAGGTCCCCAACACAGTCACACAACCTTTCCAAGGGGCCGCAGGTGTAAGACGGCGCTTGGAAGGCAGAACGAGAAATAAAAGAAATCGGCTCTTGTTTATGGGTGGGGAAACCGAGGTGGACGTAAACACATGCAGTGACGTGAGAACAGGCTCAAAGCATGTAACAAGCCCTGAGCAAGAAGGTTCACACAATAACGCAAAGCTGGGCGCCCGGGAAGGAAGGCGGCGGGGCAGGTGGGGTCAGCCAGGGGCTCGGGGACTGCCGGCTGCACCTGCTCACGAAGCCAAGGGGACGAAGCGGTGTCGAGTCTGGATGCCGAGGGCAGCGGTCCCCGGACAAGCACCGACTGGGCCCCTCCCTCCTCCGCAGTGGCAGGGCCTAGGCTCCCAGAGATGAAGGACTTAGTCCCTCCTTCGGATGGAGCGCAGCCCCGACGGCCCAGGCTGGGGAAGCTGAGCTGAGGCGGCACGAAGGCCCGAAGGCGGCAGAGTCCGCGCAACAGCCGGCTCGAAGGCGCAGGATGTGAACGGTGCGCCCCGTCGAGGAAGCTGCTGAGACCAGCGAAGGTAGAGAAGGAATGAGAGGTGAGAGCGGGGTCTCGGCCTCTGGAGCTTTGAAAACATTACCAGTGGGAAGGACAAACTAGAAACTAAAGAGATCGGCTACCTACAGGGGACGAGTATGAACGAGGTAATAAGATGAGGGAATAACGGGACAGGAGAGCGGGAAGGAGGCGGCAGTGACACGACTCTGGGCGTGTCCTCCTGTGCAGCTCTGGCTCTTAGACCCCTAGGAACGCTCCACACACCTTCACAGAGCCCAGATCCAAACAAATAATGAAAACCAGCGAGGATGTGGGGGAGCCCAGGATGGAATGCAAACAGTAACAGTGAACTTAACTCTATCCCAAATCATTGATGTAACCACATTGATGGGAGTGGAGAAAAAAAATAAAACAATTAACCTAAGTAACTAGAACACAAATATTATAATCTAGTTAGCACATGTGTATCTCGCAGGGACGGAAGTTAGCAATTCCCACATTACTTTATGGATACGCTAAGATTGAACAAATCAGTAAATGTATTGTAGATACTGAGAGTGGAGTTAATCACTGTAGGAAGAAGAAGTCACAAATGAGCACGGGGAGGCTGAATGAACCTGGTGCTGAACTGGAATCAGAAGTATCATATCAATTCGTGTTTGGATATGTAGATAGACAGACACGGAGATACAGATGTACGTACATGTGTGGGTTAGTGTAAATACATATATTTCCAAGCTCTGTCCACTGAGAGAGCCCAGAAGCACTGAGAACCCAGCAGTGATGAGTGCCCAGGTCTTAGTTTCTAAGCATCATTCTCCAATAAAAGGAGCCAGGGCTTCTTGGAGAAATGGTTGACTCCAAGGCTGAGGCAGAGAAGATACAAGATGAACCTGGAATATCTTGTAATGCTAGAAAGTAAGGATGTGCTTTAAAAGGATGGGGGCAAGGCGAAAGGACACAGGAGCCAATCTGAAGGTGCTCCCAGTGTCCAAGTGGGAACAATTTGAGCGACAAAATAAATAACGATAGTGTTGGATTATAACCCATATAATAAAATAGATACGCATTATTCCGTCCTGATATCAATAAAAATGAATGAACGAATGAGGGAGGAAGGCAGCCCATGGAAATCATCATTAAGAAACCAGCATGGTGGTAACTGTTGTAGACAGGGTCCACCGATGGATGCTAAAATGAGTGGGAACAAAGCTGAGTACAAATAGGATGTTTGCATAATCTCAAATGATCTCCTCTAAGATATTTATTAATTACCAAGGGAAAAGTAGTAATTTTTCAGTGGAGAAACTCAGCAGACAGCACTTTAACCAAGTGATCAAGAGAAACATGACCAGTAATAAGACACATTGACATCTCGTCGTACCACTTGATAAGATGCACCAAGAATGACATGTCCTTTCTGTGGAATTCTTGCAAAAATGCATAACCTCATCCTAATCATGAGAAAACACTAGACAAACCCACACTGAAGGAGCAGCTGTAAGAAGCTGTCAGGGTCGTAGACAATAAGGAGAGACTGAAGAAGGACTGTCACAGACTAAGGAGACTCGAGGACCAAATGCAACATG